ACAAGACACCAGGAAGACGTGGACGCTTGTACTATGCTGCACGACAGCCCTGTGGACATGGCTAAATAAAAATAAACTCCCATAGCTAACCCAAAGCCTCTGACAGATAATACACCAATATGGGTGGTACAGAGGTGTAGCAGACCAGATATGGCCTCTAATAGCTGCCCTATTTATAAACAGTGAACAGCTGTGCTATCATTGCTTAGTTGTTTTGTGCTGTTTCTCGGTCAACACTCTGCTTTATTGCCCTGCTTATCTGGATTTTCTGACCTTTGGCTTGTCTCTCTACTTCCGAACCTTGCTGCCTGGATTTTGACCTTTGGACTGCCTTGACTCTGCCTTTGCCTTGTCCTAATCTGTATTTGTTTGCCTTGGACTTTATTATTTTGCCACTCTGAGTACTGCATTCTGGGATTCATACATCAAACATGACACACCAACTCAGTACCTATCATTTTATGTCTTCATCCTGCTAGCATCGCACCTGCAGGGGTGGTGGCACACACAAGCACCCGTTATATGTATCCTGGAGATTCTGGATAGAGCAGATTGCAGTGGACGCAGGTCCACTGATAATGGTTCTTTTCTATATCTAGTGCCACCCAAACCACTGATTCTGTGCCCTTTGTCTATAGAATCCCACACACATATTGCAATAACCAACCAACTTTGGCCTGGAGTTAATTCTTTCCTTCACAATTGGAAGAATAATGAATACATACTGGGCCAATTAATCACAGACTGCTCCAAGGTGTAGACAGTTGGATATCTGTACATTTAAGGAAAATAACATTGTGGGCAGCTCCATAAAGACTTCTTCTATAACATTATGATAAGAAGAAAACATTTGCAAGAGCTGATGCATATATTCACGAGAAAGTGCCAGATAGTAGAAATTGTTTACTTTTATCTAATGACACTTTGCCAAGTTATCCACTTGTCAATAGCCTGGAATATGAAATGACCAGTGAAGAATGGACTGCCGGTGTTCCGATCTAGGAAAAACATAGCTAATCTAATGTGAGTGACAGTCTATGTACTTATACAGATTTATATTGTTAAATCAACCATTTCTATTTGTAATTGTGAAATGTAAATATTGTTCTGTGTTGTGCCTTGCGTGCCTTTTGAGTGCCAGAGCGGATCTTCAACTTTCCATTGAACAAGAACTTTGGGACAAGAGATTGAGTGTGAAACAGGCATTACTTAAAGGGACACTATATTCACCTGAACAACTTTAGCCTAATGAAGTAGTTTTGGTGTATAGAACATGCCCCTGCAACCTCACTGCTCAATTTAGGAGTTAAATCCCTTTGTTTATGAACCCTAGTCACACCTCCCTGCATGTGACTTACACAGCCTTCCATAAACACTTCCTGTAAAGAGAGCCCTATTTAGGCTTTCTTTATTGCAAGTTCTGTTTAATTAAGATTTTCTTATCCCCCTGCTATGTTAATAGCTTGCTAGACCCTGCAAGAGCCTCCTGTATGTGATTAAAGTTCAATTTAGAGATTGAGATACAATTATTTAAGGTAAATTATATCTGTTTGAAAGTGAAACCAGTTTTTTTTCATGTAGGCTCTGTCAATCATAGCCAGGGGAGGTGTGGCTAGGGCGGCATAAACAGAAACAAAGTGATTTAACTCCTAAATGACAGTGAATTGAGCAGTGAAATTGCAGGGGAATGATCTATACACTAAAGCTGCTTTATTTAGCTAAAGTAATTTAGGTGACTATAGTGTTCCTTTAAATTCAAAGCAGGACTACATTTACTATGAAAGAGCCAGGCATGTGCAATGAGACCACAAAGAGTCAATTAAACCATTAATGAGAAATCCATACAAAGTCACGTAAGTATAATTTTGCAGTTCACTACATTTTCTAAGGCCCAAGTTAGATGCCAAAATATTTGAGAATTTAGGTAATTTAGACACACCTATGTAGTAAAACAAGGTTCTGTCACAATGGGTTCCCATTTTAATCAAGACTCAAATAATTGAATGTGGAAGCAGCAGAGTAAAACACAGTTCATCGATATGTCATTGGTGCTTTATAAATACAACAATGACATTAAACTCTGCTGGGATCTGCCACATATTTTCCGTACATGGCTTCTCCCACTGGATAGAGTAGCAGCATTTATTTTATAAAAAGGAAATACAGATATGAAGTATTTAATTTTACATCCTCAAAAAGCAAGGGGCTAAAAGGTCAGGATAAACTGACTTTGAAGTCAAGAGGAGGGCTAGATGGGTAAAAATTGGGCATAACCCAGATACATCATTTAAGAAAAAAGAAAAAGTTGTTAAAGCAGATATATTGAGAGCGAGAACCCAAGTCTCACTCAGATATTAACTCTCAAAAAACTGCTAAAGATTTACCCATAAAGGGAGGTAAACAACTCAATTGAAAGAGTAAAAAATGACAATTATTAAGAATCTTTATTCAGTATTGTACGTTAGACACATAATTGTAGCTGTTAGGACAATTTTGTAACAACATCAATCAGGTCAATACACATGATCTTGGAGTATCTATGATTAAAAATACAGCTGAAGTAGGTATAGAAACAGGAGTAGAATGCTACAAAAAGCCACAGTGTTGGGGTGATGGAGAAAAATTCCTATCTAGTTAGTATAGTAGCTGGAAGGAGGAATTAAAGAACAAATAAGGAGCAAAAATTTATAAAATGCCCCTCCCTACCTAATCAGCCATAAAGCTCTAAAAGCAGGGTGTGGGAGACGAGGGTTAACAATCTCCCCCTTTTTAAAATTAATTATTTTTTATATATTGTTCAAATGTACAGCAAAGCATGAGTGGGTATAAAGAAAGAATATTCTCCCCACCAGGACCAAAAAATGCAGTTTCCCAAATAAGATACTCAAACACTGTGCAGGCATAACGCTCAAAGAATACAAAAAAACAGGGTATGGGGGATAAGGGTTAGCAAATCCCCCCCCCCTCCCCTTTTTGCATTATTACTCAGATATAGCTCAGGTGTACAGCAAAGTATATGGTAACGACAAGAAACCTAAGTGGGCATAAAAAAAGACTATTCACCCCACCAGGACCCAAAAATGCGGTTCTATTCTGGGCCAATACAAACCATTGTGTGGAAATCTATTCACAAACCGGACTTTACATAGGATACGAGGTCATGCGTTTAGACTGGAAGAAAGAAGATTTTGTCTAAGGCAAAGAAAAGTTGTTTTTTACTGTAAGAACAATAAGGATGTGGAATTCACTGCCTGAAGAAATGGTTTCATCAGAGTCCATACAGATGTTCAAACAGCAACTAGATGCATACTTGCAAAAACAGAATATTCAAGGATATAATTTTTCAATGTAGGATAATAGCTGCTTGATCCAAGGATAAATCTGATTGCCATTCTGTGGTCATGAAGGAATTTTTTTCCTAGTTTGTTGGAAAATTGGAAGTGCTTCAAACTGTTTTTTCTTTTTGCCTTCTTTTGGATCAACAGCAAAAAACAAATGTAAGGAAGGCTGAACTTGATGGACGCAAGTCTCTTTTCAGCTATGTAACTATGTAACCCCTGAATCCCTTTCCTCAGATGTTTAGGTTAGGACTATAACAATATCACACTATTTTTTGTTTTGAGTTCTCTTTTAGATTATACAGACATTTCCCATGTTTTGTTGTTTCTATTCCTATTGATGTAAGATCACCATCTGGGAGGTCATCAGTGGGAGGCTGTCCAGTTTACTATTAGGATAAGTATATGTTATACTTTAGGACTCAAATATTCTGTACTCTGCCCTTTTTACGTCCAAGATGCATTATCTTGCACTTATCCACATTAAATGTCAGTTGCCACAACTCTGACCGTTTTTCTAGTTTACCTAAATAATTTGCCATTTGGCTTATCCCTCCTGGAACATCAACACTGTTACATATCTTAGCATCATCAGCAAAAAGACATACCTTACCATTAAAACCTTCTGAAATATCACTAATAAAAATATTAAAGAGAATGGGTCCAAGTACAGATCCCTGAGGTACCCCACTGGTGATAGACCCATGCTTCGAATATACTCCATTGACTACAACCCTCAGTTGCCTGTCACTCAACCACTGCCTTACCCATTCAACAATATTGGAATCCAAACTTAAAGATTGCAGTTTATTGATAAGCCTTCTATGTGCAACAGTGTCAAAAGCCTTACTGAAATCTAGGTAAGCAATGTCTACTGCACCATCCTGATCTATTATTTTAGTTATCCAATCAAAATAATCAGTAAGATTAGTTTGGCATTATCTCCCTGAAGTAAACCAATGTTGTCTCTGATCTTGAAATCCATATGCTTTTAGATGTTCAACAATTCTATCCTTTAACATAGTTTCCATTACTTTCCCCACTACTGAAGTAAGGCTTACTGGCCTTTCGTTGCCCGACTCCTCCCTACTACCTTTCTTGTAAATAGGCACAACATTCGCTAATTTCCAATCTTCTAGGACTACTCCTGTTAACAATGATTGGTTAAATAAATCGGTTAATGGTTTTCCTAGTACACCACTAAGCTCTTTTAATAACTTTCGGTGTATTCCATCAGGTCCCATTATTTCTCTTTACTTTTGACAGTTGAGATAGAACCCCTTCCTCTGTAAACTCATATGTAACAAATGACTAGTTTGTCATTTTTCCTAACCGAGGCCCCTTTCCTTCATTTTCATCTGTAAATACTAAACAAAAATATTAATTGAGGCAGTCAGCTAGACCTTTATACTCTTCTACATACCTTCCTTCTTTTGTTTTTAATCTAACTAATCCTTGTTTTACTTTCCTTTTCTCATTTATGTATATAAAAAAAAATTTGTCCCATTTTTTTTTTACTGACTGTGCTATTTTCTCTTCTGTGTATGATTTGGAAGCTCTTATAACTAACTTGCTTAGCCTTTTTCTGCCTAATCTTATAGATTATTCTGTTTTCCTCACTTTTTTTTTATAATTACTAAATGGAAATTTTTCGTTTTTTCTATTTTGGCCACATCTCGGAGTACCACAGTGGTTTCTTAAATTTTTTGCTTTTACTGACAAGCCAAAAAATTCAAGAAACCACTGTGGTACTCCGCAGATGTGGCCAAAATAGTAAAAAAACTAAAAGTTAGCATTTACTCATTATAATCTCATCCTTAACCCAATCAATACACGGATTGTGCTTGAAAAGCCATGGAAAACCAAGTATTATGGGACAAGAAGGAGGTGAAATAACTTGGAAGGTGATAAGTTCCTTGTGTAAAGCCCCTACCGTTATGGTAAGAGGTAAGGTTTCCTGTGTGATCAAAGGTTGGGACACTGGTCTACCATTTATGGCCTCAACGGCCAAAGGTGTGGTACGTTCTTTGAGCAAACATTTGGTCTATAAAGTTTTCAGCTGCACCAGAATCAAATTTACATTATTGCTTTGGGCAAAAACAGAAATCATAAACCTATTATGAGGAATACCAGGAGACATGTACATCACAGCTAAGGCCAATCCCCGGACGGTTCTTAGGTGCGCAAGTTTTCCTGCCGAATAGGACAAGCTATTCTCAAATGATCCTTTTTTCCACAATATAGTCCTTTGTTTCTCCTATATAGTTTTTCAGCCTCAGATAATCTCATCACCTCTAATTGCATGGGTTCAGGTTCAGGAGGGGGAGTTGGAGCAGGTAAAATAGGAATGGAGAAAAGGGGGCAATAGACATGTTGGAACGTCTTGTTCTCTTTCTGGTTCTGTCTCTATCTCTTAGACAGTTATCAATATGCATCATATAAGTGATGTACTTATTAAGTTTTTCTGGTAATTCTTTAGCAGCAGTCTCATCAAGTACTGCATCAGATAGACCTTCGGAAAAGGCAGTGATTAAACTGCAGTTAGTCCATTCGACCTCTGAAGCAAGGGTACGAAATTCAATGGCGTACTCTGCAACAGACCCATTGCCTTGTTTTATATGCATTAATGCTTTGGCAGCGGTTTTCTCTTCACCCAGTGGCTCAAATGTCAGTTTAAACTCAGCAAGGAATTATTTATAGTCATAATCTATAGATTTATTGCTCTCCCATAGAGAATCGGCCGATGTTAGGGCCTTACCTGTCAATTGGTTCATTAGATAACCTATTTTGGATCTATCAGAAGGGAATGATCCAGAAGATGCCTCAAAGTGATATTCTATTTGATTAAGAAATCCATGACACTCCTGAGCATCGCCTCCAAAATGAGGAGGAGGTGATAAGGATATCGAAGGAGCCTTATACACAATAGGAATACTCACAACAGGAGGGTTAGGAACTTAGGGTGGATCATCGGCCTGAAAAGGGCTAGAAGCGTTTGGAAGGCCTGGCCAAATTGATCCATGGGTGATCATTTTCCACCAGTCTCCTTTTGCAAACCAACATGTGTTGACACAATTCTGCGGGGTCCATGTCCCTGTCGTAATGTCACGATTACTTTGTGACCCAACACGCAAAACTGTATATACACAAACAACGTATGCCGGACCTTAGAATGGCCGGAATTAACTTAAAAGAGAATGGTCAAAGAACAAGCCAACGTCGGGGATACAGAATGAGACAATATGAATAACTAGTCAAGGGCCAGCATACCAGAAGTAGGGAAAGTCAAAAACAATAGCCAAAGTCAATAACCAGAAAAATATACTAAGAACTCGCTCTCTGACAACCAACAAGTGGAAATCACGACAGGGCACTGAGAAAAGGCATTATAGGGTTTAAATATGCCTCTCAGTGCTGTGATTGGTTAGTACAAGGCCTTTGTCCCCAAAACGTGCGTGTACGTTGATAACGTGATGTCACACATGCCGGTGCCATCTTTAATGTGGGCAGTGCGCCCTTTAACAGTAAGAACGGGACCCTTGGAATGACGCACCAGCCAGGACCCGATCCAGGTAAGTTAAGTTTTCCCTTTTCTGTGTGACTGCCCTGCTCATGTGCGGCCGCACCAATCAGGGACTTACTTTTATCTGAAGTATTGGCGCGGCCGCACTGATCAGGCGCGACTGCATCGATACAGACCCTCTGCGCCGTGACAACCCACTCCTCCAGAATTTGTGTATGAGGCTGGACAGGAAGAGGAGGGGATCACTTCCCATCTGCCCCTTAGTAACCTCTAATACAGGAATTACCTTGCAGGAGGCGCAGGGGAAGCTCTTAGTTACACACGCTGTATAACCACTCCCGCATGTAACCTGACTGGTCTACAGAGAGATAGGAGGGTGAGTACTATGCAAATAACTCTTCAAATTCCAGCACCTTCAAAACAAAATCTGAAAATTAACCTTTTGGTAAATCTATTTTGAGTTAGTTTTCTTTATTTGTACTCGATTGTGTTATATTACGTATAGGGTATCATAAAAAAACAATTTCTCCTTAAAAAGATTATATATCCACCCGCGCCACCATATGACCCTCAAACACAGCCACCAAACATATATGAACACCAAATATACACGTGCTATTATATACACACACACACACACACACACACACAATCAGATACACACTGACACAGAGATACACAGATCGAAACACACACTGGCACCTACACTCAGATACATACTGACACATACGCTCAGATACACACACTGGCACAAAGATACAAACACTGGCACATACACTCAGATACACACTGACACATACACAGAGACACTAGCACATACATTCAGATACACATGCTGGCACACACAAATACACACAAATACTGATACACACACTGGAACATACATATACACTGGCACATACACACACACACACAGATACACACTGACACACAGATACACACAAACACTGATACATACACTCAGATACACACACTGGCACATACATTTAGATGCACACTGACACACAGATTCACAATGGCTCATACACATTGTCAAACACACTGGCACATACTACTAGCATACACACAATTTGACACGTCATACTTGTGGCTGTCACTTCCTTCCTGCTGGCTGATATCACCTGTTTAACAATAGTTATGGGTGGGAGGCGGGGTGCAAATCATATGAAATACAATGGAAATCACCCACACATCAGATTGTGTGTGTGATTTCCGGGATATTACATATGATCTGCAGGTGTCAGGGAGCAGCATTCAAAATGCCTCCCGAAACTACCGGGGGATTTGGGATGTCTGTATATAATATGTGCACTTAAATAGAAGAGGGGAAATTGTGGTATAATAAACGCATGGCAAAAGTGCCAAAAAAGCCTTGGTCCAGACTAAAAAATGAGGAGCAAGATTTTTGCAAACTAACAAAGCTTTATTTTCAACTACAAAAAGTAACCGATCTTAAATGGACACTATATTAACCAGACCAGTATAAGTTAATGTAGTGGGTCTAGTGTCTATAACATGTCCCTGTAGTGTTAGCACTGTAAACGTTGCCTCTTTAGAAAAAAGCAGTGTTTACATTGCTACCACTGGCGTACATACCAGGGTCGCAGGGGTCGCGACTGCGACCGGGCCCGGCCCACCAGGGGGCCCGGCCGCCCCTGCGACCCGGTATGTACGCCCAGGGCCAGCCTCTTCCCCTGGGGGGCCCAGGAGCCTTTCACTTGTGGGCCCCTTGAGGCTGGCTCAGCGGGATTCGGGAGGGGAAGCTGGTAGAGGGAGCAAGGCGGCGCCGCGGATGCCGGAGCCGAAGATGACGCTGTCTTCTGCTCGTACCCTTTACGCTGGCGCGAGGGAGCTGAAGAGAGGGCACTGAGTGCTCTCAAGGCCGCTTCTGCCTCGCTCCTGCCCCCCGCCACCCGCCCAGGAGCTCCCCACTTATCTTTATAATCCCCAGCACTCCAAGAGGTAAGGAGGTTGGGGGATTATATAAAAAAAAAAAAAAATCATGTGAGTGCTAGAGTGAGTGTTAGTGTGTGTGAGTGTTAGTGTGAGTGTCTGCTAGTGAGTGTTAGTGTGAGCGTTAGAGTGAGTGTTAGTGTGTGTGTCTGCTAGTGAGTGTGTTACTATGTGTGTCTTACTGAGTGTGTGTGTGTGAGTTAGTGAGTCTGTTTGATGTCTGTTAGTGAGCGTGTGTTTGTCAATGAGAGTGTATGTTTTGTAAGTGAGTGTGTATGTATGTCTGTCGCTGAGTGTGTCTCTGTCAGTAAATGTGTGTGTCTGTTAGCTAGTGTGTATGCGCCTGTAAGTGAGAGTGTGTGTGTCTTCAGCACTTACCTTTCCAGCCGATTCTTTGGCGCTTCGAGGATCCTCAGTTCTCAGTTCACGCGACCAAGACAAAGATTAAATCAGCCCATAGGAAAGCATTACTCAATGCTTTCCTATGGATCGTTAGGTAAAGCTCTCTAAAGCGGCTGTCCTGCGAGACAGCCACTAGAGGCTGATTAACTCAGTGAAAACATGTGCAGTTTCTCTGAAACTGCTATAAGCCAGCTGCAGGGTTAAAACTAGAGGGACCTGACACCCAGACAACTTCATTGAGCTGATGTGATCTGGGTGTTCAGTGGTTCTTAGATTGATTATAGTGCCAGGAAAACATACTCGTTTTCCTGGCACTATAGTGCCCTGAGGGTGCCCCCACCCTCAGGGACCCCCTCCCGCCCGGCTCTGGAAAGGGGTAAAACTTATCTTTTTCCACCTCTGGGCGGAGAGCTCTCCTCCTCCGATCCTCCTCTTCTCCCCGTCGGCTGTATGCGCACGCGCGGCAAGAGCTGTGCACGCATTCAGCCGGTCACATAGGAAAGCATTCATAATGCTTTCCTATGGACGCTGGCGTGCTCTCACTGTGAAAATCACAGTGAGAAGCACGCAAGCGCCTCTAGCCGCTGTCAATGGGACAGCCACTAGAGGAAATAGGGGAAGGCTTAACCCATTCATAAACACAGCAGTTTCTCTGAAACTGCTATGTTTATGAAAAAATGGGTTAACCCTAGCTCGACCTGGCACCCAGACCACTTCATTAAGCTGAAGTGGTCTGGGTGCCTAGAGTGGTCCTTTAAGTGTGTGTGCATCTGCATGCACTGGCGTACATACTGCGGTCGCAGGGGTCGCAGCCCTGTAACCCCTGCGACCAGGTGACCACCGCCATGTGTTGCGGCCCGGCCCGCGCGGGGGGGGGCCCACGGATCAATTTTC